ACTTACTCTTTTGGAAAGGAAGTGGCATCTTTAGAGTAATCTGTTAGTGTAGTGTACTTAGTGTAGATTCGGTAGTGCCATCATGCATGTATGTATCACTTCTCGATTTCCATCTGGTCTAAAAATGTTGTTTAGCTCATGACAGAAAGAAAAAAATCTTAGGTGTAAGTGAATAAAATATAATACGGTGCACTCCTAACCCCAGCAGAGGAGTTCGGACCGACTAAGACGGTTGTGCTCTCCGGGGACTTCACTCTGATTATTGCGTCGCATTATTTTTGAGACAGCGGTTACTGGACGTAACCCGTGTTCTATGCAACGCGTGGACCGCTTACAACGGCGGTGTTACGTGATTTCCCGAGATTGTTCTACGTCTTTTTGCCCACTCCCATGTCGATCCGAAGAAATGTCCCTCACGTGTATTTTAAATGCATAAAAAACAAACTAGTGATTCATTTGTGATTAACTCTGGACAATAGTGGTGTTGATCCAGGTATTTGAATTGATTGGCAGCCAATATATCTGTATTGAAGGAAAGCCTTAATATTTGGAACAATGTTTGGAAATATTAAACATAAAATGTTAGTTGTAATAACTCTCCCACTCAATGATCTAGAAGGTAGTAAGCCGATGACAATTAAAACGTGTAATTCCACAGAATTGGATCACATAAACCCAACCCTCATAACCAGAAACAGTACTTATAGAGCAAAAGCACTGTTGTTGCAGTTTTTCCCAGCTGAGAATATCTTTGAAGTAACTCCCAATAATTGGAACACATACAGAATGAATTACTCTATAGCAGCTCCACAACAGGAAGCTTGATACCAAAGCTCCTCAGCCAGCCTTGTTGAACAATAAGCTTCCACAGGGACGGATAAGAGCCACACTAAACAACACTCAACAGTTGACTTTAAATACTTCCTGGTTTTACTCCAGTGCTAAATACACACTGCTCGAGGCCATTGCTCCCCTTCTCCTCGTGGTATTTTCTTTAGGATTTCATGGCAGTTTTAAAGGTTTCCTTTTGTGTGTGTGTGTGTGTGTGTGTGTGTGTGTGTGTGTGTTTGACGTGCGCCTGGAGACAGACTGAATGAGAAAGATGGATGCTGTGGCGTCCAGCAAAAAAAGAAAAAGGATAATGAATGAAGTCGACCGTGGGTGGCAAAGACCATCACTAAAGCGTAATGGGTCCCAGCAGAGGGATGGGGATATTGACCTGTCCGTCACTTTGTTCTCAGCTCCCTTTCCTTCCTCACAAGTGTGTACACAGCCTAACGCAAACACACACTGCAGTGTACACAACGAGCACACAATACCAGCATACACTTTGTTTTTGCACATGTACACACACACACACACTCTCACACAAAGTCCCTTAAGCACCTTGTGCATATTTTCATCTTGGTAACACGGGAACTAATGGCAATGTGTGTGTGTGTGTGTGTGTTCATTTCTTGGAGGTGAGGCAATTTGGCTGTGTTTGCTCTTTTTAACTGAAAGCAAATGGAGAGTATGTGCCCCCTGACAGTTTTATCAGACATATACCCACAGTGGGAGAACTCCACAGAGAGGCGTACCCTCAATGAAGCGTGTACGCCGAAACCGCTTCTCTTCTTATGTGACGTACTGCAGGCAAACTTCTTTGATGTGAATTCTTCGGAAAGTCACTCCGAGCAAATTGCCGTATTCCTCCCCCTGAACTTTTAAAAGCTGCCGAACCTTTCCGTCCTTCCACCTGGTTGGTATTTTCCACCTGATACAAACCACTGGATTTCTGAAAGAGAACAGTGGCGCAAATGTGTCCGGCTTTGACAGCAGCTGCACCGTCCCCGTCTTAAACTACCGTCTCCTGCTTTTTCGTTCGCTTCCTTTCATTGAATCAATTATTCATAAATTTGTTGTTTTCTTTCTCCTGTCAGTGGTCAATAGACTGAGGGGGACTCAACCCACCTGCAGCAGAGGCAGCAGCAGGATCAGCCAGCGATTATAGTCATTACAGTTTGTGCTTACATAGGGCTCTTGTGCTTTGTGCCACATCTCCCCTTGTCAGCTGGCAGTCTAAACTCTAATCTGCCAGTTATAACAAACAGCAGATGAGGGAACGGGAGGAAAAAAACTATGAGGGAGGAGAAAAGAAAATTCAGGTAAAAAAGGAGCAGTAGGAGGCCAAATAGAAACGTCAATTTTCTTTTCCATTTTAGCTTGTACAAAGGGTTTTTATCCAGATGCAATCTACTATTGGTTGATAATACCTAGAATTGGAATACATGTTTCAAACCGGGATTGTCAAAATATAGTGGTGATGACCGTAACCACATGGGAGGGATTGTTTGAACTTGGGTTTTATGGGGGGCTTATCCAAATTAAGTGTCCCGCCCCCCATTAGACTGTAAACTGCACGCCCCAAGTTTGAAGATACAGACAAGATTACCCGCTAACGTACAAAGCAATATAGTGATGCGAACAGGAGCAGCAGCAAAACTATTCTATCCACCTAGGAAAATCAATATTAGTTTAAATCTACTGGTACTGCATTGGAACTCATGTCTGTTTCTCCAAGCTGGCTGCTTGCCATCCACTGTAGGCAATATGCTGACTACAATAATAGTATTTATTATTTAATAGACATTTATATATTTATATGATGCGCCCACGCATACATATCTTATTTTGCATTTATTTATTGTTAATGTAAATTGTTTTGGCCGGAATATATGTGTAGTGGAAATCTGATATTGTGACGGTTCTAGATTCTAAATCTTATACTGTAGACCCGACCTTCCCATACGTGAATACATCAGAGTGGATCCATTTCTCTCTCCCCCTGCTAGTTCAAAGGGCTCCATCAGAGCCAACTGTCTGATGAGATCCTGATTATCCCTCTAATTGGTAATTGTGAAGTCGTTGTGGCACGTGGCGTGGGCAGCTTCTCCTGCTATTGATCCCCCTCCTACCCCGCCATTGATTTGCACTTAATACATTTCATCGTTATTATTCACCCCTCTTATTTTATTCCCCTGTAAGATGCCGGTACTTCAGCACACTCGTGGCAATCAGATCAGGAGGTATTTGTGGCTGTTGTGCACGGCACCAGGCATATGGGTCAAGATAGATGTTACGGCTGGGATTTAGTTTGCAATCTATGATAAACACACATAATGCTTCATCCCTCATGAGGAAGTTACTACACATTATGATTAATATTCCAGATAGCTTAACTTCTAGGGCAGCAATGTTGAATCCAAAATATGTCAAATATGTTATATAATGTTCATGTTGTCGTTTGACAAAATAAGCCCCAAACTAGATGTGTGTGTGTGTGTGTGTGTGTGTGTGTCTGTCTGAGATTGTGATTGTGTATCCTCAATAAAGTAGAAATGGTATTAAGGAGGAAGGGTGTAGGGATGGGAAGGCCGCCTCGATAATTGTTTCTCAGTTTCATGGGCTTGACCCCCTATTTATTTGACTGGCATTTACAGCCTGGGAATTAACTCTTCATAGGTGGCAAGAGGTGATGGGGGTTCGTGAACCCATAAAGTTTGCGTGGGCGGGACTCGGCAGACCACATCTTATTACTGCTTTGGCGTGAAATGAGATGGGGCCCCTGTCCCTCACCGGTTCGATTGATTAGTCAACAGCCAATCAATGTTAATTAAGGTCTAGAGAATCCTTTGCTTGTGGCGTATGAATCATGGTGTCAGACCCTGTCTTGGCTTTCACAGGACGTACACTGTGAACGGTGCAGGGGAATAAACACCTTTTTATATTGTGCGAGATAAGCATGCGTACGAGTGTGTGTGTGTGTGTGTGTGTGTGTGTGTGTGTGTGTACAGTGAGTCCTTGCAGCAGCTGGTCTCAGTAAACCCCACGTACACATCGGGTGCTCGAATTCAGACTGGACAGATCTACAGAGCCTCTTTCACAATTTGCAAGCGGCGGCAGTCTGATGCTCGTCACAACGTTAATGTTAATGTCTTCAGATAACGTTTGCTATCATGTGTGGCGAAAGGCTCTGTGTGCATATGAAGTGGGGCTTTGATGGATGACTGCCCAAAACAAAATGTCACATGAGAACACCGCCGGCACCATAATTGTGTTTTTTAATGAAGACCTGCTTTCTCCGTTGGAGCTGATATCCCCGACCCCCCCCCCCCCCCCTCCTCTCCACCACCACCACCATCCATTATGGAGTAATAGCAATGTGACCTGTTCATGGGTTAAAGCTGTGTTTCAGTCCCGTGACTTTCAACTCTACCTCTCAACAGAAAGATTATTTTACCAACTAGATTGTCTCCAGAACTTACAAGGGGTGAACAATCTCAACCTGAAGGGTCTCCCAACTCTGCCTCATCCTACAATGCTTTAGTCCCTCCATGTTTTCTATTATGTTTCCTCCGTCAGTGTGGTGTCTGAGATCTCTAGCCCATCAGTTTGTTAATGTGTTCCCATAAATAGAATTGTACCTAAAGCAGTCAACCTTTCTAGACCACTTAAACAAAATAATGTGTTTTTTCAAATAAAATATTCATCATAAAACACTGCAACCTACTTAAATGCCACATCTGATATTGAATACCTCTTTTTCAAGCACTTTTTTAATCTGCAACTGGCCTCAATACATCAATCCTTTAGCTAAAGCTTGTATTTTTCTCAAATGTCTGCTTTAAAACTCGTCCCCATTTAACAGTCCATGCCCTAAAGGGGTAACCGAGAAATTGTTTTATACTGTTTCTTTTAGAGTTGGGGGACTTACAAGACTTAATAGACTTACTAACAAATTATGGAAATCCTACACGGACTATGTATTTAAAGGAGAAGAATAGATAAATAGTTGGTAGAGCTTCACAATGCTCCTATTCTCTGCAACAGAAGTAGATGTTCAACTCTATTAACCACACACTGAACATCTGAATGATGTGCTGCGTTATATCATTACCAATGAGAATGGCGAGATTGTCTGATGATGCTATCATTGCTTTTTTCCCCTCTACTTTCAGATGTAACAACCGGACCCAGTGTGCCGTTGTGGCCGGACCAGATGTATTTCCTGACCCTTGCCCGGGAACCTACAAATATCTTGAGGTCCAATATGAGTGTGTCCCCTACAGTACGTATTCCTTAATTATATCCCAGTGTTAACCACCTGCTTGTGCACTTAGCCATGCTCACTTCCTGCTGTCAGTAATGGCTCATCACCAACCATATCTACATGCGCGCGAGTAATGGACAAAATGTTCCGAAATATCTTGAACGTTTCATCCAGTCGAGCGAAACAGATGAAGTTGCTTCAGTGGATGTGCAGTCAAGGGAGGATTGCTGTAATCCCAAAAGCACAACATCTCGTTTAGGGTGCAGAAAATATTATCGCCAGCGTTTTTCTACATGTGAAAAATGATACAGTTCATGGAGGAATGTTTTGTCCTCGATACAATACAATTTGTACGTCTTTGTTCTAACCGACCTGAGATAAACAATGTCTATCTGGCATGACATCAATTACTCCAACAACAACAACCGAGTATTGCTTGTGTAATTTATTGATGATTAAATAAGCAGAGTGAAATTGTTACTCGGAAATACACACGTTTGTGTGGGAAATATGTTGTCAACCACATGCTAAAGAGAAAAAAAACAGGGTTAGTCAGTCGAGGGAAATGTGAGCTACACTTTTTATTTTATGCTTGCCATTGCCTTCCAGTTCACAGTGCGTTAATATCTTTGAGGAATCATGTCATGTCTCTGTTATCATAGCAGCAATCAAGACCACATGACTTTCATCCAAATGAAACGCTCTTGTTGTTTCCGGTTCAGTTCAGCTCAGCGGACGCCACTTAACGTTCAGACGAGCGAAGCATCTCTGAAACAAGCGAATAGAACGGATTTAATTAGTGCAGCAGGTGAAAAACATTGTCAATGTACTTGAGTGGAAACATTTAGGCATTGGGATTGGGATTGATCAGCATGGGGTGGAAGGATCAACACGCAGAGAGGACGTCCAGGGGAGACCAAAGGAAGTGGCGTGGACATGGCCGTATGAGGTAAAGGCAAAGCCACAGTAATTAAGCCTCCTAGAATCGGACATATTGTCTGCCGGGCAGTATGAGAGATATTTGGTCCCAGATAGTTATCCGTGCAGTTGGCTGCTGGGTTCAAAATCTGATCAAAAGCCATCTTTTTAACATTTGATGTCCTTACATGGCTCCCTCCTCAAAACGCCTAATAAGAGCTTTCATATTGTGAAATAAAAAGACATTTCTACCTGTGATCCAGAGCAGGCAGGCTATTTTATACCACACTGTTTTCAACAATCACATTTCTCCATCCCAGCGACTCGGTGTCTGTGTCTTTCAGAGGTGTCCATAAACTCGACGGATACTGATTCGATTTAAGGTCGCCAAAGGTCAAAATCACAGTGACCTCATGTCCATCCCATTCTCATGAATGCAATACGTCAGGTTGCCCTAAGTGAATTTCTTTGATATTTGCAAAGAAGTTGAACTGCACCCTTTTGTTTAGGTGCTCCAAGGTTAATCTTAAAACTGTGGCCTCACATTTTTAAGCATAAATCAAGGATTCATACGCTAATAATATGCATTTTCACAAATGTCCCATAGGATAAAAGGATTAGGTGGTGACATTTTGGACAGACGTGTATGTAAACTGAATTCCCCTTAAGGACATAGTCCCGCATTATGGTTCTGATGTAAAAAGGCTTGCATCCAATGCGGTGCCTTTCAGGACTCCCCGCGGCACTCTCTCACAGCTGTCCGCTCAAATAGAAATGCCATCATACCCCCGGGAACCACGGCATTCACATGCAGAAATATCCGCCTCAACTACTCACCTTATTTTTCTCCTCAGCCGCCGTAACAAAAGCCAAGTTGAAACTTGCAACAGTCGGCCCAAACCGCTTCTGGCAGCTTTGTTGTTGTGACAACGGGCCCGCCTGTTGGGGGTGCACGAGGGAGGGAAACGGGGGCACCTTGTCTGCCGTGACTGTGGATTGTGTCCAGGACCATTGAAGGATAATATATTCTGCTGGCCGTGCAGAAGTCATGGAGGCGTTTATTTGTATATTGAGCGGGAAAGCAAAGTGTAATCACACACAGTCACTGGAGACGCATTCTGAAACATATTTTACTGCAGCTTGTGGATGCATTTCCTCTGTAACAGCCCAGTGGCTCCATTCTGGCCTCTGAAATGAGGCAATCCTTTTGGATGGAATGTGCCGGATTTAGAGATTTAGAGTTCTTTTTTTGTCTCGATTAAATCAGTGCGACCTGTCTTGCGTGTGGGCCCCATGGTCAATATCTCTGAATTCTCAAGCTAAAAGAGATTCGCTTGATTTGATAAATATGTTGGTATTTACATTGGCACAGTGACACAGTATGACAAGCGACAGCTAAATTGTGGATGGGCTTCGAGCATGAGTCTCTTTTCCAAGTTCCTGAGACGGCCTGACGGATTTGAGTGTCTAATAAGGGAAGCAGCCAGCCATGTCTCCAACTCCCCTTCAGTGGTGGAGCCTTTACTCTATATTCCTCCGACGAGCTCTCCCTCTCTGTTCTAATCGTATTCATCTTCCAAGTCTCCTTCACTCTCACTTACATTTTGTCCTTTAAGGGCTCTGCTTATCTATTTATTTGCTCCCCCAGTTCCCTCAACCGCCCCTCGTCTCTTCTTTAGCATCCCGACGCATATCTTTATTCTGTGTTATACTGCTGGAGCTTTTTCTTTCTCCTAGGATAAATTACCGCTGTCTTCTCCATATCTTTATAAGATGGCACAGTCAGATCCAGCGTTAATAATGGCAGATAAGAGTGCCAAATCCAATTGATGCATGACACATGCGGCAGATACAATATTGATTTTATTAATTTGCAATTTGATCCGCTCCATCACTTATAATTGCTTAATATGAGCTGATGATTTGATATAAGCTGTGTGTGTGTCATTTGTGAGGACATACCATCACATTGGAGAAAGATATGAATGTAAAACAATAAAAAATTCAAGGATAAATTGCATGAAAAACAAAGTACTTGATACAATAAATTGGAAATACTTATATTTGACCTTTTATTAATGATGGAGTCATGTAAACTCATCCTTCATCTGCCAGAGGTCTCTGTCTGTTGTACTGGTGCAGTCTGAGCGTGCTCCCCCTTGCACTTTACAGATTAGTAAGTGACGTCCTGGCGCTTTATGATGACTCATAAACACAACTTTGCTGCGACGGTGAACGTTTGCCCGCGCCTCGCCCCCTCACCTTGACTTTCCACGGTTCAGTGGAGAGATGTGTGTCCATTCTCCTAATGTCTTATTAAAACCTTTCACACTGGCCTTTTCTCTCCACGTAGCTCCTCGCGCTTGTAGAAAACTGTGTGTCTCCCCCCCCTCCCCTCCCCTCCCTCCATCTCCCCCTAGCTACCCGGTGTTCTTCGTCAGCAGTAATGAAGCACTTACATCACCTCTTGTGGCCCCTCCAACTATCAGACTGGTCAGACCGAAAAAACGCATTTGAGACCTGCCTTGTCGAGGACAGTGTCTCTCTGCTGTTGACAGCTCGCCGTTACCTTTCCTGTCCTTCGCCCGTTATTTCAGCAGTGTGATGTGCCTCTCACCGTACTTTCACGGTATATTGACTGATTTATTTTGTCCAGATGAGCGCTCCCCCAAAATAAATGAGTTCCTGGACTGACACTTCAGCATGCATGTCAGATGTGGAGGGGGGAGGGGGGAAGGGGGGGGGGGGCACCGGGAAGACAAAGACGTAACGCCTGCTGGCAGTAGCTATACATAAGCCCCTACCACCCCCCTACTGTTTGTAGCTAATAAGGACAATGTCAAATCCCGTCTCTCGCAGTGGGATCCAGCTCAGCCCTGTCAGATATGGCTCACACGTCGGAAACTGAGCCAGGACATATAATCATGCAATCATTCCTCTGATTTGAATGGAGCGGTATAATCCTGAGCTCGCACTTGCCATGTCATTTGGAGAGTTCCTTTATTTCCAACTTGAATAATTGTTTTTTAATTCATTTAGTTAATAACAACACGGCTAACAAGTACAGAGGGGCTTGGCCGACCGAGCAGTTGAGTAGATTGCTTTGGCGTGCTCTAGTCAGCACCTGCTACCAATCTCTGTCCCTCGTGTTGGCAGGTGAAACCATGAAATTGATGCCCTGCGCATGGCCGCCGCGCACGCCGCCGCCCGGGCAGACTGCGGTGTGATTACAGAGCCCATTATGTAGCGGTCACACCTTAGGTAAACACCACCTGGGTGACCACGGTCACCGTGCGGGCTGGCGACGTGTCTCGTCTGGGTCACCCCGTTGTTTTGTGTCCCCGCACAGTTCATTAATACGGCTTTGATGCTCGCTCAGTGTGCGGACGCCATCGGCGCTCTTGCGGGCACCCAGGCAGTTCTTTGCCTTGGATAATCTTGCACCAATTTTAAGCTTCTTCAGGAGTGGATCACTCTGATGTTATCGGTAAATCTACTAAGCAGATTGTATTGAAGTTCAGTGGCTTTTTCTTTTTTTCTTTTTTTGTCCTTGAGCTCTTCAATCCACGTTCATCAGGTTCTAGTGTGGGCGGCAACGGCGTGACAGCAGATACATCACACAACCACACCCTCCTCGCTCCCTGAGGAAATGCCAGTGAGCATTAGCCTCCTCGTCCAGACGGCTTTTTTTTTTCTTCTTCTCCCCACCTGAGCGACGAGCCGCACGTCTTCTCGAGTGTGAAGGGGGCCTGTGCTGCCATCACATCACTCAGTGACAGCTGACCACTCCCCACCCCGCGCACAAAGCTCTGATGACTATGACGTTCTGTCATCTGATTCACACGGTGAAGCCACGCTGGTGTCACAGCCTGAATTTGCAGAGATTTATCTTGTCACAGCACATTGGTTTTAATTTGACCACCCTGTCTCTGCATGTTTTGGTCCAGCTGAAGTCACAATGATTCATCACTCTGTTTGCAGTCAAAGAAAGTGGCGTGTACAGGATTTTTGAAAAGGCATTGTTTGTAGTTATGTGACTATTTAAAGAAAGGAAGATTAAAAAAAACAAGATTTAGGGAAATATCGAAGAAACGGTCTCA